ATCTCCCGGCATTCTTTATATTTCACGTAAGTGCAGTCGATTTACGACTAGCCACAAAGGGCGTGAAAGTTACGAAAATATTCCGGTGTAAAAGCACCACAGAATGCCGGGAGATGTCTTATTTAGCTCAGAATTCTTCACTCTATCAGGCTATATGGTTTGTAACATTTTCTGACTCAAAACTAAGGACTTGGTTTTCCAGCGGTCAGGTTTTCTAGAAGCTCTATTATCAACTTTTCTCATGAAAGGGGCGATATGCACCTCATCTGATAGAAAAATCTTCGGGCTATTCAAAACATTATTCAGATTGGTTCCAGCTTTTACTAAAAAGGCAAAAACAAGGGAATTCTTGTGATTATGACACACTATAATGCTTAGATAACACCCAAAAGCTTTTTTTCCATATCTTTAATGACTGGCCCCACCTGTCTGGATATTGTGATCAGCTCACTTTGTAGAGAATTTCAAGGGCTATCCAATGGTATGTTTTCAAACAATACATAAATTTTCTTTATGGCAGAAAGACGACTGACGAAGTGTTCAACGCACTAAGATAGGTGAAAATCATTATACCGGTCAAGTATTTCAACTATTGACCAATGTGGGCATATTTTTGAAAGACCCATTTATAGCTCATTTGGAAGCTCGTGAAATTCTGTGGATGTAACGAATGCATGAGATAAAATGAGCCACTATTTTCAATATCTGCAGTATTTAAATCTTGGATTAGGCAACTACAGTTGTGCGCTTAAAATTACGAACAAAACTTGCTCATTTTATCTGATCCACTCGTTATAACTTGTTATTCGTGCATATGTCCGTAAATAAAATTGGCTCCGTACTATGTTCATCTTGATTCATGTGAAAATAACATTTGTCACAATGAGTGACATATACTGCTGACGATGAACGACTTGCAGCTTATTATGAACAGCAGTTAGTCAACGGTAACAGTCTATAATCCGTCCTCTGAATGTTTAGTTTCAAAAAACGTTTCATCTTAGGCAGTGCTGGCCCATCATAATATCCATTTCTATTGACTAATTGATCGTGGGCTTCGATTTCAGCGAGCATTAGGCCAGGAAAGCAAGTTGTTATACAAGCAAGTGAACTAATGTTTACCTAGAAAAGGAGCGACGGAGAAAACCGTTATTGTGAAGGTAATAATCGTCAGATGTTAGACCATTTTTAATAATATCGTCTCCGGTTTCCCGGGTACGACGTTCACGGGAGAGACATACCTAACTGCGCTGAAGAGAAAGCAGTATTAATAATTATGTTTTCTATTTTTGTATCGAATTCTTTGCCTATATATAGACGAAAGCTGAGATTTTAATCAAGCAAAAAAGTACCAACTGATTTGTATTATACCGCTTTATTTATGTCTAGAGAAAATTAATAGATATCGAGATTCTGTCTGTTCTATAACATCAAATTATCTCCAAACATTTCTGGAAAATACAAAATCTCTCAAGTCGCACGCACAAGTTATGTATTGTATTTAATTATGAGAAACACCTTGAACAAATAAAGAAGAAAAATATGATGATAGTAGTATTCTGAATTGAGAAGCAATTAACATTCAACATTTATTTAAGTTATAAAAATCGTTTTGAAAAGAATCTATAGATCAATGTATCCCTGATCACGTCAATACTACATCAGTCCTTCATATCAACCTTGTCACAGTTCTCATAGTTCAACCAAGTATTTTAAGCAACACAGACTTCTGCCTTCATCGAAACTTCGGCGCGTAACGTTTTCATATATTCACTTTTCGAAAAAGTTCGCCTGATGATACTGCTTTTTTGTATAATTTCATAAAGTGCTTTACTAGAGCGTAAATCACTTAACAGCATTATAATAGTAGAATAATAATTACAAAATAGTTGAGGACATACTATTATCCTTTCCAAAATACAAGGCCACTGGTTGTTTTTTGAATATCTCAGAAGAAATAAAAGATAGAGACTTGCAATCTTCATCATTCGCTAGCCAAGACGTAAAGCTATGTTTTCATAAAACAAAAACCAATTTAAAAAAATATCGAAAGACCAATTTTTCAGGAGATCTGCGAAAAACCAATTCGATTCTCTGAAAATGAAATTTTCTTCGTAGATATATAGTTCGAAGTGTCCTCTAAAAAACTGGATCTAAGTGACATCTTGGAAATCCATAATTCGGAAGCTGTGGACGTTTTCCTGGAGCTTTAGCGCTGCTCTGCTGTTAGGTTTGGGACTGTCAGAAATGAATGAAACCGTAGGTTATCGACTACACTGAGTCTTGTGGCAATGTTAATTCTTATCCTCACACAACTCTGCATGCGAGGCATATCTGCCCATACGAGAAAATGAAAAAATATGCTTTCTTTATTTCTTTCATGTCTTTGACGGTGAATCATGATTCCAAATAGAAGTAAAAAGAAAACTACTTACCATACAGCAATTATTTTTCATGCAAAGAGATACACTCGACGAGCGAAGTAATTGCATTATCCTCACCTTATTTTTTATGTTAGATAAGAGCGCAGCTTCAATTTGTACGTCTATCTGCTTGATCTATCTACATCATAATGTATCTACACGATGTATCATTTTTCTTCTTTATCTATTTGATTTGTGTATCATCAATAATGCAACAGTTTCACGCTGCTTAGAACTGGTCTGGAGTGTCTCTTCGACCCGTTATGACTACTTATCTGGGTTGTTCTTCTATATGATGTCGTATGCGGGAGAATGAAAAAGTGCTAGATATCTATAGTACGCAGCAATTGAGAGAGTGGGAGAAATAAACTGAAACGTCCATTTTGAGTTCATGTCTAAGTGACCTTGATGTGAATTTTCCCGAACAGAAAGCCGGGTAGAACATGGTAAAATCAGCGTTCTGCCAGTTTCAGAGATTTCCTGACTCTGAAACTGTGCTTTCCAAGCTCGAGTCGAAGTTCTTAAGTGCTTTTACAAAAGTACGATAACAGTAGAAATAATCCCTTGATTTTGCTTTTTGTTACAATTATCGCGCATATCATAATTGTGAAATATTTTTTCATGATTCACAAGATCGTAAAACACAATGTAGATGAACATGAAGAAAAAAAAACAGTAAATATTTGCACAAGTGCAAAAGTGAAGTATTGATATCTTTTGCGAGGTTTTCTCCAAGAAAGGTGTGTAAACCAAAAGAGAGAGAAGAGAACTGCTTTATTTTCGCTTATGCGTTTTGTACTTCAACCAGTTCTATAAAAATATTTATCTGCTTAGTTAAAGTGCATAATCTTTTTCTACGAGAGTCGTGTTAGACGATATGATTTCTTTCAACTGAGCATTGAACACAATGTTTAAACAAGTTCTTCACTATTTTGGTACACATTCAAATGAACTGATCAGACTAGTTAATGAACGATTTGTGAATGCAACAAGTATAATATCATTACAATCATTTACTTTCCTTCGTTCATGTTCAATTTATTTTCATGGATTACTTCATAATCACACAAATACAAGAATTTCTATTGTTCATTTAATCGGTACAGCATTAAGAATGAAAGTAAACGGTTTAAATAGATTAATATTGGTTGCAAAGGATCATCATAAAAATCAATCGATATTTAGCACAGCATATTTAACTACAAACCAGATGGCGAGGTGTCAAGTTAACTTTTCAGTTATTCGCGATCAATCAAGTTATTTATTAGAAGATGAAAATAAAAGTTTTAATTCACAAATTCTACTTCGTTCAGTGAAACAGAATGAATTTCATAAAGCGGCACCATCTAATATTGAAAATAACGAGACGAATAAGAAAGAAAGAAATTCAGATGAGACTAAACGTTTAATTGTACAATATCCTGCAGAACCAACTAAGCCCATCATCACCATTATCCCGACAGGTGCTAGTCTCGGTGCCGAGATTCTTAGTGTCGATCTTCGGACGATCAACAATGACGACTTTAAAACTATTTATCGTACCTGGCTAGACCATCTTGTGCTTCTGTTCCGCGATCAGCAGCTCAGTGATGACGATCTCATCGCCTTCAGTCGTCGCTTCGGTGAGCTTGACTGGGCACCAGTACAGGAAAACGGGCGACGCTTCGTCGATGGTCATCCTGAACTCTATATTGTCTCAAACGTGGTGGAGAATGGTGTCGCTATCGGCAGTCTGGGTGCCGGCGAGGCGGTCTGGCATACCGATATGGGCCGGTTCACGAATGATCTCATCATTGTGCGCATATGGGTACACATCTGATGAAATAGGGAGGGGAGTTAAATGCAACATGGCATTATATTTTTTTTTGTTCATCGATCTTTTATTAACAATTTTTATACTCTGACATAGTGTGAAAATATTGACAATATTTGTGGAATTAGAATACGGAATTGTTCCTCCTTCATAGTACTGATGCTGACTCTGCTGTTATAGATGGTCGTATTAGTTACAGTAGGTCAACTTATGTGGCTATCCATTTTGGAAGATGGTCTTCGAACCAACTAATTGACATAAAACTTTCTTGGAATTTGAAAGTGTCGCTACCGTTAATGACTGGGTAAAATCAATTACTATTATATCATTTCGTGGGGATTATGAGAAAAATTCTCATTTCTCAAAAACGTTTACATATACAACACATTTTTTGAAATCAATTATTCGGATGTATTATTGATTGATTTACAATATTTTTATTATTGTATTACTAATATTACCTCACGTTCTACTTTTAATTCAGTAGAGCGTAGAATAGCTCCACTGACTAAACAACCGGTCAGTACGTATTGTTCTACTGCTATTTCGTACGTTCTTTTTCTTTCAATAAAAAGTGTTTGTTGTCTAGGTGTTGTCTTGGATTAATTACCTGACTATTATTATGCTGCACATTGTGATAATAATAGTAAAACGACTGATGGAGTATTAGAAATACAAAATTATGAGCATTGTGGTACAATGTACCATCCCGTGTCGTGTATTTTTATAGAAAACCATCGGTTAACCGCAGTTTGCTATAAACTGTCAGTTAATCGCCGTTAACCGCCCGTATTTTTGATACCCCAGTTTGAAAAATTAACCGACCATTGACCGCGTTATGTTGGAGAACCGACAATTAACCATTTTTTTTTCAATCACCTTCTGCTTTGTGGTTACTATATGTACATCAGACCAAGAAGCACTATCGAAAAACTTTCTAAGAGCCCTGGCCAGCAGATAGGCACTGCTCAGTCCAAAACTTCACCGATATGGGACTGTGACTAACCGACAGTTTTACTGCTATGGAACACATGAAACTTCAACACTCAAAAGAAAAATGAAAAAATGTTCAGAGGAGGGTTTCTACTGATATCGCACAAAAACGGTCAACTAACAGCGGTTAACCGAGTATTTTATGCCGGTTAGCGGTTAGTTGCAGTTAACCGCAGCGCACACTTAATCGAATGGTTAATCGAGGTTAATTGGCGGTTTGATAAACATGGGATACCTCCTCAAAAGTTGTTTTTCGAGTAACATATAGAATTATCGCATCAAATATTTTCTTATTCGAAAAACATTGGCAGAAGTATGATATGAATTCGTTACTTTGTCGATATATTACATAATTCATTTCAGGGGTACAAATTCAGCCAAAAAAATCATATAAGATAAACTTTGTTTTTAAAAAACTTTTAACAGAATCTCTAGAAAATGCTGAAACACTTAAATTGTTTATTTTCTGGTTGGCTTACAGTATTATACTACTTGTTTATTTCCATTGTCGTCCATTTCATCAAACATCTTAAATTTATATTGTAAAAGAAACACTTACTTGTAATTGTGTGAAGGAACGTAAGTGTGTTCCTTTTGAAGGTTTACTCTAAGTGTTTAGTTTAACTTTTAATCTTCTAAACTCTCTAACTCGTCACTTTTCGTATGATCGAGCAACTTGAGCTGTATAACGGAGTACCATCCTTATTAATATGTATTATGTCCCTCATACCACCAAAAATCATATGATTCACAAAAACTAAAATTTACCGCATATGTATGCATAGAGAATTTTGAGAAAAGTTTTCAATGTATTTTGCTATTATTTTTGATAGATTAAAGCTTTTTTTATGGTAGTGCACGTACGTTCTGCCAATTTAGCGCATGTAAGTGTATTAACAGGTTAGAATATATTTCTAACGCATTATGCTGAGCGTTAGCGTCGTAAAACTTTTTCATGAAAATGTAAACGAATTGATTGCGTAATATATGAATAGTGCATCCACTTTTTGTCGAATATCTTACACCACATTCAACAAGCTCAATGTTGTTTACAAATTATACAATGTAATGATGAATCCATCTATGATCCATGAAAAACAACTATCAAAACAAACGCCGCGAACGCTTTTTACCACCATTTATTAAAACATGACATAGTCCAATAATGCCATCAATTGACGACAGGCATGTAAGATTCAGTTATTTGAGACAAACGAAAGAAATAACTAAATTAAATACAAATGATAATATTCCATTTGGTTTTTATTGTCCAACAGTAAAAGGCGATATAAAAAGTGTATTGCTTTTATTAAAACCATCGAATGTTTAGGATGAAGAGTTATTTGTGTATATCTAGTTGTGTTTATTGAACAGTCTCTCATTTTCTCGTTCATTCTATTTTGTTTTGTTTTTGTGTGATAGACATTGATTAATTAACGGTAGTTCTGAATTTTTAGAATACAGTTGGAAATGTAAATAAGAAAAACAGTACCAGAATCAATACTATTATCGTTTTCAAAAAGCAATGTCCCTGACTAAATTTTGAATAACTCCCCCATAGAAAGAGATATCGATCTCTGGTTTTCGCAGATCGCT